AAGGGTTGTCAAGATTGCAAGCGGTCTCTAGAGTAGCATTTTTGTTGTCTACCACCTTTCCCACGGAGCACACAGCACAAACCTCTATTATCACGTATTCAGTAGTAAGTTGCTTATAGACTGTCTCTGTTGCCGGTATATATTATAGCTTAGAACACTGAACAGCAACACACTGCGACTACACAAATGGACGACAACTGCAGTAATGTAGCTGCACGGGCGCATGAAGTCAGAGTTCATCTGCAAGCTGCGCATTATTTGGATGTTATTCTTGGATCGGACCTCGGGAATTTCCGGATACCACGAATCCTGTGCATGCGTGCATGAGTGCATGTTTCGGTTCTTGGGATCTAACTTGTAATTCCGTTGTTTTTTTGGAGGGCGGGGCAATGGTGTGTTTTGTTTAGCCACGGTACCTTGATGATTGACACCGAGCATTGAACAAAGCGATATCCAACTTTTTTCTGCTTCCAGTTGTAACCGTGGCCATTAGATTTAGGTTAAGGGCACTGATTTTCACATGTCCGAGTGCTGTGAATCCAGTCACCCTAGGAACACAAAACGTTTGTATCGCTGATAGATTGCGTCTGTGGCTGTATTATTTTTCAACAAAAAACATGTATGTGTTTATATTTCGTAGAATGTTTCCATCGGCGCATACGAACAAAGGGGAGGCGCGAAGAAATTAGTTTTCAGCATATTGCCTCTGGCGTTTGCATGTATAGTTCGATTATTCAGTAAATTATTGCATAGTCTGAGCTGCTGTTGGATGAATGTGCGTGTGTATCAAATTGTTCCGTTGACCACGAGCTATGGGGTTGCAAATAATGGATAGGGAAAAGGAGAATAAAAAATGTGTGAACTCGATGTGACATGAAAGATGTTAGTCAAGAATGAATGGAATAGATGTTAAAGTTTGATCACTTCTACGGTTATGTTAGCAGCAGCGGCTTGAATGAGATTACTTTGTTTGCACAACTCCGGCTTCATAATCCTATTTACTATCACAATTGTCAGAATTTTTTTACGCAGTCCTCTGGTGTGGTTCTTGTGCACTGTCGAGAAAGTTGTAGTTGATATTTCTGAGCCAATCTTGTGTCCACCGTCTACCAAATTTTATAAGATAGAGCTGTTCAAGTTTCTCACTGTTTCATTTTGAGGGACGACCGGGACAATGTTTAGATATTCCCTTGGACAAACTTCGTTGTGTCCGATATAGCGAGCACTACAAGTGCACGTAAACTGATATAAAACAAAGTATTGCGACTGATGAGGCAATTGATCCGTTAACTTTTGGAAAAATGAAAGGTTTAATTTTAGATGATAGTCTGAAATGCTCTGCGGGAAAACACTTGGCAATGGTTTTTAATGACCAATTTTCCAGGGTTTCTAATACCGTGTTTTCCTTGAATGGAACATTGGTAAACGCCCTCTTTCTGGCCATTTTTGCCATTGCGTCGTTTTTGATTCAAGGCTTGTCGCATGGTCCCCTCTGGGTATCCGTATCTCTGATGGTTGTCCCTTATGTGGGTCATTCCCTCATTCAGGGTCTCCGGACTACACATTGTCTTCACCCTGTAGGCTAGGCAGTTAACTAAATTCCATTTATCTTAGTGCATTTAGGAACAAAGAAATCATTCAGGATTGATTTCCCTTTACTCTTCTCGAAGCGGAATATTGACTTTTTTATTACACACCTAGGTGTGATGCACAACAGACGGGGTAAACCCCATAGTCACGAGGACCTGCTGTTCAGTGGTTAAAATCGGCAACCTAAGCCCCGGAACTTGGAGTGGCGAACCACATAAGGTCCCCATAGGTTAAGTGTGGTATTGAACCGGACGACAGCAGAGCTGCCTACCACCAAAGTCGGGTGGCGGTGGCGGTGGCGGGGCTCGAACCTCGGACCATAGGGTCCAAAGTACGCCGGTGACAGCGACTAAACCACTGCGCCACCGCCACCACTGTGTGTTTTCATTGACCAGCTAGCTGAGATTCGGTTATGCGATAAGTCACTTAAGAACACTTTGTAGGAAGACCTTTCTTGTTTACTTGTCAGGCATAAATCCCAGTTACAATGTATACATCTTATAATCCCGTATCATCCAAGGTACATGCTGTTGATCACCAAATTTTAAACACACCGTGTGTTTATTGTCGTTCTACTTCTTTCGTGTTTTCAAGGCACTCTTACTATTTTCACGGTATAGTTGCTCCCTTAAATCAAACATAAAGTTTCTTCCTCCTCTGCACCATTCGCTCATCAATTACAGTTTCAGTAATAGCGGTTCGGTCGGTCCGTTACCCCGGGCGACAGTGGGCCTGCGTCTATTTCGACACGTTTTTACTTCAAGGGACAACACGAATTGGAATAACACTGCTTCTTATTCACCTCTAATTTCCTACTCATTATAGCTCGTTATGTGACCCTTCTGAAACAATGTTCTATGGTCTGTGTTTTCTTCCTTCTGATTACAAAACTGGGAACTTTTCTTTCCCCTTTTTCGGAAATAACTGTATTTGAGTACCTACGTTATATCCCCTCGATGTTCATTGCCTGCGAAATTCCGTGTTTTTTATCGGTATGTTCAGCGCCGAGTGGGACATTTTGTTTGCTCTGACGGCTGCCGCAACGAGTACGGAGGAGCCGAGCACGACAGTGGACGGTAACTGGAACGTGTCTTCAAATCAGTCGCTGAGGTCTCCCAATTCCGAGTAAGTGTGATTTACGCTTTTTGTTTACTCGGCCTCTTTCTCCTTTGATTTAGTGGACAACTTTCGCTGATGGACTGGAATCAATTGAGTTCAACCCGCTCGATATCAAAAATAAAGTCCTTTAGAAACCAGCAATTTAAAACCACGGTACACAGAAACTAAATGTTTGTCGTAAATTTTAGCGCGGGAAAAGCGCTCCGAAAAGCTCCTGAATTCTTCGACTTAATTGAAGATTCAACTTGAGGTCTCACCAGGATCACTGGCTTTCAACCGCTTGCACGTGGGGCCTGTGGATCTGCACTGAATTTATCTTGGAATGCATTTACTCTGTTGTCGTAGTGAATTGTTGCGGTCGATTTCGGTAGGAAGCACTGGTTCCAGTTGTTATTTCGGAACAAAGTGATCGAGTTGATCATTCAGGTTTACATCGCGTGTTTATTGACGAACGTGAGTACAGCATTAGGTACCGTCGGTACGTACTAATTTCAATGGAATACATCGATACTGTTATGTTCGACAAATGCACTGATGATATTGCCTGCCCCCTGGCCACGAAACGTCTGAGAACAACAACACTTCCAGCTCGGAGAACACCAACACCAAGATCCGCATCCTGAGCGACAGACGTTCCACATCATTTCCAACACAAAGGTTGAAGTATGTGACACCCGATGAGGCGACAAGCAGTGTTAACGGAGGCCGAAATTAGGAGACCTGTTGCATTTGTGGTGCTAAACAGTTACAAATATCCTCTAATGCTATCTCCGTTAATGTTTGCACAGATTTTACTGGCCGGCATTCGTGATGAAGATGA